CGCGCGCGCGCAACTGGGGCCCTCCCCGCGGGGAGGGTTGCAGTTGCCGCGCAGCTAGTCACAGCTCCCACGCAGCTAGTCACAACTCCCGCGCAGCCGCGCGGGAGCTGCGCAGCTCGCGGGAGGGTCGCAGTTGCCGCGCAGTTAGTCGCAGCTCCCGCGCAGCTCTCACGATTAGCTGCGACCCTCCCCGCGAGCCGCGCAGCTCCTGCCATGGCGCACACACACACACACACACGCACACACTCACACACCCACACGCGCACACACACACACACACACACACACACACACACACACACACATCACACACACACGCACGCGCACTCTCTCACACCCACCAACCAACCAACCAACCAACCAACTAAACCCTTTTTCTGTTTATTTGTTTTCAAATTTTGCATCTGCATTTTTTTTTAAACAACTCATTTCCCTGCAAAAAACAGAAATTCATTTAAAAAGAAAATACAGGTCAACTCGGGGACCATATATCTCATGATAAAAAATGACAAAAAAAAATTCCTGCTTTTCTTTATATATATATTTTTTAATTTTGTTTAAATCGATTTTAGTTTTTGATTTTTTTAAAATCCTAAACAAAGTCGGATTCCAAAAAAATATATATAGGAGTGTAGGGTTTTCCGAGCCCTACACCCCCATATTTGTTTGTTTTTACGCTTTTTTTTTTGGGGGGGGGAATATTGAAAAACCAGGCCGCGGACTGGGCCTCATCGGCCGCGGCGGCCGAAATGCCCGCAACCTAGGCCCCGGGTGTCACATAGCTTCCTGGGTTTTCCTTGGTGTGCTGCTGTTTTTGGGTCCGTGGAACGTGCGAGTCATGACCCTTGCCTGTGGGATATGACCTTTGGCTGTGAGACGTGACTTTTGCCTGTGAGACGCGACCTTTGACTGTGGGACGTGACTTCTGCCTATGGGAGGCGACTTTTGCCTCTTGGACGTGGCTGTTGACCGGGTACCTGCTGGACTTGACCCGTGGGGTACCCGACGTAACCTTTCTGAAACTGGCCGACCTGGTCCTCTCGGCCTGGAGATTTTGACGCTGAAATTCGAATTTGGGGTCTGCATCATCGAATGTCTTTCACACCTTTGCACATAGTGAGCATATGTGAGTGAAAGACAGCAAGAGCAAGAAAGACCGAAAGGTCAAGCATATTTGGATGCATGAGTGGGGATGAAGATGAATTGCACAGCACATTTGCCACACCGGTGTTGTGTGGTGTTCAGGTGGTGAGTATGCGTGTGTGTGTGAGGCCCCAGACACCCAACCGTGTTGAGCAACTCAACCAGCACAGCTGGCCAGTGGCTGGCCAGTGTGCTTGTAATACTGTGTATGCATGTGTGTGTTGAGTGGGGAGAAAGGGTAATCGGTGGCGAGCCGAAGGATCATAGTGTCTCAACGAAAACCCATGCAATGACTAGTTCCAGGGTGTGGCAACGCTGAAAATACTTGCACCTTCAAAATTGTTCCAAAGGAGTATGCCCGCACACATTTGGRGGGGGGGGGGGGGGGGGRGKGAGRGGGGAGAAGGAGGCCACTTGACCTCACACAAGCACAAACCGCCTCAGAAAGTGTAACAGTTCGCATCCGCCATGCTGTAAGAATGCTCAAGCCTGTCAACATCCAAAGTGCTGATGCCAACAATGTGCCTTTCGACAACTCATGTCATGGCACAACAGTTTTTGAGGCATGCATCAGCCTCAATTTTTTTCAGTCCAGCCCACTCAAACGTAGTTGCAACAGGAGGGTGTGTGCGGGTGTGCAAACTGCTTGAATTATTTTAAGGCACGTCGGCCTGAAAGGCCCACCTTGAGAACTCTTGTGGCATCATCCAAAACTTGACTTATCAGAATCGAACCACAAACGGCCACCATGTCACCAATCACTTCCAAAGAAAAAGAGATGCCCATAGGATGACCTAGAGTGGACAAAGATGGGACCCAAGTTCATTACATGGGTGTCAAATAGTAGTAGCTTTCATCATAGTATGTACAGGATTGGATGCAACTGCTGCATGTACCACGCACCTCCATTAGATAATTCAGTATTTTACTCAAGTCCCAATCCTTCTGATCTGCTTTGCGTGCATCCGCCCTTTCATCCTCAAGCTTCTTGGCGAGAGACTCGTATTCGGCCTGCACAAGATAGTCAACAGCCAGTAGCCAATAGCCATACTCTGCAGTCAGCATCACAGTTTTCAACTCTTCTGCAGTGTTTCTCTCTAGAGATGAAAAAGAAAGCAAAATGACGTGAAGGATTGCTGCCTGTGTCAGCAGTGATGATTGCGGCCGGCCATGGTGGGTGACTCGTCGAGGGGTATAAACGGGACTGGCTCACTGGCGGCGGCAGGCGCGGCGGCTGGGACTACGGCGAAGGGAGAATATAAAGGGGAGGACGTAGGGGGGTACTGGTTTCAGACAATAGTGGTCACGGGATGAGAGGGGGAGAGTGATCTAAACTTGGGGGGTTCCATGGCGGGTGATTCCACACGGGGGGAGAAGGGAACAACCTCTGGAGCTCCTCTCGATGAGCCAAGTGCCGAGAACAGCGGTGATTCGTTAAGCGCGCGGTGGCCCGGCTGAACTCACGGTGTCCCGAGGAAATCTTCAAAACGATTGGCAAGGGTGACCTCCGATAAGCGTGGGGGAAGAGTCAGCCTGTGGAAGATGAGAGCAAGTGACACACTACAGGCGGGTGGGGGGGAGGCGGGGGTGGTGGCAAACATGGAGGGAGTGGCAAGTGCGCGATGGTGCCTTATGCAAATCTTGCGGAAGGGGAACCTGATGCACCGGCCCATAGAAGGGGTGGGGCTGGTGGAATACGCAGTGATAAATGGGGTGTGCATGACAAGGCCTGCTAATTAAGTTATGTACAAAACACCTACGCCAGAGCACACACGGTGGCTTGCAGATTGCCGAATGAAGCAAGTAACTGGTCACGCAAGACCAAGCACGAGTGGGCGTGCCACATGGAGGAAGTTTGGATATTGGGCAGGGGCCCGGGGCGAGGGGAGATCGATACTGAGGGGGATACGATAGTTACGTACTTGGCACCCACAGTCCAACTGAGAGACTGGCTGATTAATGATAGGCGGACGGAAGAGATCCAAGTGGCAGGATGTCGGGCCGAGGTAAGACTGCTCCCATGGAAACTGCCAGCGGAGATCTACGCGGAGAAGATGACAGAACGGAAACGGTGGCCATGGGTCAAAGTCTACAAATCATCCCCCCTGGCTGCAAAATGGATGCGAGGAGCGGTGGGATAGCCGAAGAACAAGTGTTCGAGGAAGAAGATCGTGAATACGTGAGGTATCCGATCGATGGACCGTTGAAAAATCCTCTGAAGAACACGGTGGCGGTCGCGACTGGCCCGTATGGTTTTGAAGAGGTGAGGGTGATCACAAGTGAGGCCCCCTTTTGTGAAGTTTGCTTCACGCACGGCCACCGAGGCTTGCATGGTCACTGTCCAACCCCACCGGAGACACTTCAAGAGATCCAGGCCAGGGAGACGAGGAGCGTGATGTGACCCAGTGTTGCAGTCAAACCCTGACCTGGAGCGAATGGCGTGGAGAGAGTCAGAGACCCAGACGGACGGAGCGATACTCGAAGAAGTTAAGGAATGGGCACGGGGTCAGGGGGAGAACAGGGCGGTCGGGGGGATGGATCAACAGCCTAGAAGGAAGGCTTGGAAGGGGGGGGGAGGCATCGGCGACATGTCCCGTGGAAGGGGCTACCAGAGATCCCATGCAGATGGATGGTCCATATTGGCTGTTGGGAGGAGAGCGCAAAAGAAAGGCTGAACAGCCCGCAGTGGGGGGAAAGGAAACGAAGGTGGCAGGGGTAGACCACGCCGCCGAAGGAGAGGGAGGGGGCGGGGGGGGACGGACAGATGGAGATGGACAAAGGGGAGGAGGGTGAACTGCCTGATCAAGCGATGGGACGGAGGGGAGACGGGGACAGGAAGGATGGGGATGGAGATGGGAATAAAAGTTGTCAGGGGAGGAGGGCGGGAGCAAGTGCCAAGGAAGGAGGAGCACAAGAGAAGAATGGTGGAGATACGGTGCAAGGCCGGGAGAGGAAAACAGAGGAAGGCAAAACAGTGAATCTGGGAAGCAGCCTGAGCGCCAAAGCAAAGGCCGAGGATAGGAACGAGGGAGTGGGGGGACTGAAGTCAGAGGGCGGGGAACAGCCTGACAAAGGTAAGCACGTGCAGCAGGAAAACTTGTCAACGGGATGCATGCGAGGGGTGGGTGGGAGGGAAAAGGGAGGGAGGTAACCAACCCAACAATACTTTCCTC